AGATAAGTAGCGCGACTCAGTATACGATATCGAGCAAAGCAGATAGCAGATACGCCATACGCGCGCGGACAATATACTGGGACGAGTTCGATATGAAGATTCATAGACTCGAATCGTCACACGCCGCGTCAGCTCCATGTACCAATCCAGGAACTGGACGATGAGCTCGACGAAGGGCTCACGACCGGTTGCCTCCTTGAAGAGGCCAACGATCGCAAAGACGAAGACCTGCCGTAAGAGCGCGCCTCGTGTAAATAAGTTGGTCCATCAGATCAGATGTAGTCGCTTCCACTGCAATCGAATTTGCTTGAACATCTTTTGGAATTCAGAAGTTGCTACGGCTAGGGTAAGCCGGCCTCACAAGTGACACGAGCTCAGTCCCCAAAGGATGGATGGACAACGGGACTACCATGTCGTTACAGATTTCTTTGACGACTTTCCGGTTCGAGTTAAAAAAAAGTCTAGCCTTCAAATGACGTCGTTCGTTGTTCGAATGGGACCAAGAAACATCAACGAGTGCGCAAAAGACTGACACACTTTGCATGCTATACACGACCTAGAAAGGGAGTGCGAGAACCAGCACCGGCAATAATGAAACGTGCGTACCTGCATCATATTCCGCTGCTCGTAGGCCTTGAATGTCTTCTTCTTCTCCATGTACACGCCCTTGCGCCTCGGCAGTCGGAAGCCGGATTCACGAGGCATCCCTCGCAGACGTGCATCGATTGTCCGCACCTTTTTGGCCGCAAGCTGCGAGGAGTACCGCCTTTTGGCCCAATCTCGGATGCCGTCGACCAAGTACAGCCAGATGCCGAGGTAGATGCCGTGTAGGGGGTCAGGCACGAGGGCTCGATAGGAGTCTCGCACGTCTTCGGGCAGGTCCAAACCCTCGTACCAGTTCCAAAGGCAGCCCTGCAAAGGAGACGTGATGTTTGAGGTTCGGGTTCAAGTTCGCTGGTCTTTCTAACGGCACCCCGTTGAATGAGAGGTCACAAATGGAAGCCACTTTACAGGGAGGCACTGACGAGGAATAAGTTCGTTGTTGCCTTTAGGATCCTACATCATGGATGAATGGATTTGATTCAAAGCTGAATCCGCGCTGCCGGAAACCCCTCAGGCTTTAGGTTCGCAATGAAGCTGAGAATATCAAGTGTTGACTCAAATGAGAAGGCTTTATGACAGTTGGCCGTAAACCAAAATGCGAACTAGCATACAGCAGGGAATTGCAAAGGAAGCTCAGGGGGCGACAAGAAAAGCCCAACAAAATAACCTTCGATAAGCTTTCTAAACAATGACGCACCTCGATTGGCAGAGACATCCCTGCCTCGTCACACGCTTCTGCTATCCGCCCAACTGTGACGTC